GGAAGATTGGATTTAATTTCCCAATCTTTTTCACACTAATCCACTACTTTTATTCTTGGGTTCTACTCATCATTTTCAAAGCACTATCACTACTTCCGACCTCTTATTCTGCCAAATCCACACAATTTTCTTTATTTCTTTAGGCACTATAATGGCTTTTTTGACCAACCTTGGCAATGTTAACTTGAAGCATAACATGTAAGATATATTAGAGACATCTCCCTTTGCCGATTCTTGAAAATTGCATTGTTTTCAACCTCTTAGTTGCAAATGAAAGGAAAGATAAAATTTGGCAAATGGACAATAAAAAGGTGAAAAAAATACTAGTATAATCTTGGTATAGTTGCCCTACCATTTATTTGTATGAGTCTAATGAGCCCAAATGTACAGAATAATGGTTTTTTCTCCAATATGGTTGGAGTCTAACTACCTAAAGAAAGTAAATAAAATTTTTAAGAATTTGAGCTAGTTTTTTGATAAGTCTAAGTGAAGTGTGGGCTACTTGATTGGTTTATTGAACACACAACATACTATTCTTGAATATACCCGCATTGGATAATTAAAATACACATATTAGATAAGTGGATTTGAATATTGTTACTTGTGTTGTACATTATAAGTTATCTCTCTAGGACATCGAACTTTATCATCTGGTCATCCATATTTAAGTTATGTAGTAATATCAATAAAATGCACCATAAATCTTAAAATACCCCAAAGGTTTAGGAAATTGACTAATTATTCCCCCATTGTTTCGGTATTTCTTAAAGTATCCATACTATTTCTAACAATTGAATAAATCTTCCCCACCGTTAGCGTTCGTTAACGGAAGAATTAAAAAGACTATTTTGCCCATCATTCATTAAATTTTCAAAATGAAACTTTTGATACCTTATTGAAAGTGAGGTGATGTTGAAGACGCTGTTGGACATCGTTTGAAAATGATGGTGAGGTTTTGGTCGACGAGGTTTTGATCGTCATTGTCTATAAGAAAGCTGACAAGTAAAAGTATTGGTCATCATTGTTTTCGTTGGGAACGACGAGTGCTCTTGCTCTGCTTTCAATTAACTCCAAAAAGAACACCGAACAATAATCATGTTGCGGAGTATCGCATAAAGAATAATTCAACAAAGGGACCACCTCTTCCTCTCAAGCCAATCCCATATTATCCGAAGGTCCAGCTGATGTGAAATCATTCAAGACGGGCTCTTCAGTTCCCAACCTTTCAATCTTTGGATTAGTGGTGTCGCTTCCACCTTTTTCTTGAACCTTGCTTTATTAACAAAATCCTTTTCCTTGTATTTGGTTTTCCATCAAAAAAGTACAAATCAGCTATGAAAAAGACCCATTTAACAAGTTCACAACTTATGAGCTTAAAACTAAGAACACCGTAAGGCAACAAGATTTGAAAAAAAAAAGAATAATTTCAATTGGGAATTACAAAATTGAAGTCAAGCCTTACATTCCAATCCACTGAATAAAAAAAAGAATCTTTAATCAAAACAAGCCTTCAACTCCAAACAACCCGAGCAAAGACCCCCACCCCCTTTTCATTTTAATGTAGAAGTTCTTATATGTCCATCTATGCATTATACCCTCTTTAGAGAGAGAGAGAGAGGGATATATATATATATATATAGAGAGAGAGAGAGAGAGAGAGAGAGTGTTGGAAGGTTAGCCGCTACCGCTGGTTTGAGTCAAGAAGACGGTGATCTTTGTCGAAAAGGGTATTTTGAGTATAATTTAAAATTAAATCAAACATGTGAAGTCACTTGTAAATGGTATGGGACTGAGACTTAATGGGAAGGGAACTATGCGCCAATTGTCATAATTAGTAGGGGTACTTTAAGATAATACTGAAATAGTAGGGGTATAGTTAGTCTTTTTTTTCTAAACCTTAGGAGTAGTTTAAGAAATTTGCCCTTTAATTAATAATTAAATATTTTTCTCGTGCTTGTTTCAATTTATGGCTAAGTTGAAACCAAACAAACCTTGAATTATTATCTAGTGGAAAGAAACCTCTACCATTTTGTTTGAATATTGAATTGAACAAAAAAAACTACAAGGATCTACTAGAACAACTGGGGGTTTCAATATTATACTTAGAAAGATAATCAAATCATAAATCATTGAGAAAGATAATTTGGGGGATTTAAATCTGTGAAAGTTGAAGGGGTCTTTGTAAGAGCACATGCAAAAGCAAGGGCATGTAAAAAGAATAGGTCAAAGTGATATGATCCCAAACATTTGCTCTTAACATCATAAATAACAACAACAACAACAACATGATGATGATGATGATGATGATAATAATAATAATATAACAATCATGAGATGTTTAGAATTGATTTCAATAATGATAATATAAAGTTCAAAACTTGTCATTATAATTTAAGATTTGTAAATATAAATTACACTTTACATTACTTTTTTTTTGAAGAAATTGCATTACTTATCAGAGACCATGGTATTTTTAACCATGGGCACATGGGTTCAAAACTTTACATACTCAAAGTATTTTTTGGGGTTTATTTTAGGGCAAATAGGAATGACAACCATAAGGGGTGGGGTCGAGTTTTGTTGTCCTGTCGTCCCGACTCAAACTCAAGATACCTGTCATGTCCCCGCCCATACTCAATGGGGCTAGAAATCCCCCATCCTCGTTCTTGTGGGGAATGAGGACCCCCGAATTTGCCTCGTTCCTCTCTGATCATACTTACAAATTGACTTTTTATTTCTTTGAAACTCACCTACAACTATGTAATATAGTATAATATATATTAAACGTTATTTTATAAAGACACACTTTTAGTTGGGGCGGGTTTTGGGCCAGGGTAGGGCTAGGGTGGAAAAATACCATCCTCGCCTGGTCCCCGGTTACAACTCAAAACTTGCCTCAAACCCAATCAAAGTCTACCCCAATTGGGCAGAGAGGGTTAGAGCCCTATGGGGACTGGTTAAGTTGTCATCTCTAAAGGAAAGTTAAAGGTCAATTCCACGAAAGCCAACCAAGGTTGACTTTTAACGTCGGTACCAAGAATTTGGAATATGATCCCTACTTGGTTACAATCAAATCCATTTGATTTTAGGTAAAACCTATCCATTTGCTTACCCATATGGGCTTTACAACTGGTGTGGCCCACTAGTCCATACACCAAACCCATAATCCTCTAAGGCCATGCTGAAGGCTAGATTTGTTCCCAACTCTCTATTATTATTATTATTATTATTATTATTATTAGAGAGTTGATGATAAGTACCTTGTACTTTTAAGTAGGGTTGCAAGTAGAGCTGGGTTAGATCGGGTTGAGGCCAACCCTAGCCCAACCCTAACCCTAACCCAACCCGACCTTCAACCTGACCTACCCAACCTTAACCCTAATCCTAACTAAATTCCTTTAACCCTAACCCAACCCAACCTAACCCAAAGTCAACTTTGGGTTGGGCTGGGCTTAGGTTGGGTCCAACCTAGCCTTCTTCCCATCCCTTAAAATCTTGTAGAACTTCTTAATCTTAGATTTTAACTCAATTTTCATTACGATGACTTATAAATTATAATAGATCTTTTATGGGCAGTAAGCTATGGGTGACAAACAACACAGAGGAGATAAAGAATAAAATATTCAAAAAACATAAAATATGTTATCAAGGTTTTAGTATTTCCAATTAGGATTAAGTGAAGTGATTATCTTCAATGAAATAAATGATAGTATGTGGCAGTGGCTATACAACTATCATGTATCTAAACAAATCAATGTATGATCAATATATATAACATATATTTATATATGATATATACTATAGAGTCGGGTTTGGGTTGGGTCGAGTTGCCCAAGGAATCAACCCTAACCCAAACCGAATTAAAGTCGGGTTCATAAATTTCAACCATAATCATAACCCGAGCATCAACCCGACCCAACCCAACCCGACTTTTTTCGGGTTGGGTTTGGGCTAACCCGACCCAAGTTACAGCCTTACTTTTAAGGGTAATCTTAAGATCCCCAACTTTCAAATGTATCATTTTAGTACTTGAATTTCTACACACACGTACACACACCACAATGGATAAAATTAAAAAATGATTATATTATTTCTAACGCTCCACAATGGATAAAATAAAAAAATGATTACTTTCTTATACCGATGGACTTTTAGATACAAACTAGTGACGGCAAAGTAAGAGTTCAAAAGTGAGATTACGCATGAAAGGACTACAAATATATAGAGTGCAAAATCTTGTATTTTGTATTACTTTGTATGTATTTATATTGTATATATTTGTATTTGTTTTTTGGTAGATATTATATATTTGTATTTGTGCTCATTTCAAACTGAGCTCAATAAATAGAGTTTGGCTTCCGGCAATGCCCCGTTTAAGTAGCCTTTACAACCTTGCATTGGGAATATCTCCCTACTCATGTGTTTTATTTTATATGGAGATATTCTCGATGAAAGATTGGAAGAGACCGTTGGGACGGTGTAAGCATGGGCTTGTCCTGACCGAAGCCAATTTCCAATAAATACACCAAGGTGCATTTAATTAATCATTGATGATTTGTGTCCGAAGTCCAAAGGTAGATGAATAGTGACAAAAGAGGAGTTCAGGTCTGCACTCCATAAAGTCCCACAACACATCTCTGCTGTGTATTGGGGACATCTCCCGATAATGATGTCATCAGTTTTGGTACTATTATCGTGAGATGTTCCTAATACACAAGAGGGATATACTGTGGGAGGTTGTGGGACACGTCCTTGTGGGGCGCAGATCTGGACTCACAAAAGGGAATCAAAATATGGCCATTTTTATAATTTATTCTTCAATGTAACATTAGTTTAACGGTAATTGGATTTAAATGTATATTTCTTAAAAAAATAGATATAAAGTGGGACATTTTAAAGTTGAGCCCCTAAAATGAAAATAACCAAGGTACAGGGTACTTATATGCAATTTACTTTTTTTATTGTTAATTTGTTGTCTTATATTTATAGCAGTTCTTACAGCAAAGGGCTAAGAGGCAGGTCGAATTGTTGGAGAGGAAGAAAGACAGAGTACACAGAAGGGCAAAGCACCATGAACGCCCCTGATCGTTACGAGCGGTTCGTCGTACCAGAAGGCACCAAAAAGTACAATATACATGGCTCTTCCTTTCTTTTATATTCTCTCTATCTGTTGTATATATATATTTTTAAACATTTTTCCGCGTTTCGACTCTGAACGACAGGGTATCCTACGAAAGAGACACGAAAATTATCAACGCTGCTTCCTTTACACTTGAGAGAGAAGAGCACACCATAGGCAACATCCTCCGCATGTACCCCTACTAATTAATCACTCGTTCCATTTATGTTTTCTGATGCTAACACTTGTTTTGATGGTTCTGTGATTGTTTGCGGCTACGTTGATCTAGTCTATTTGTATAGTTTATATAATTTGATTGCTTCCTTACTTGATGGATTATTTTGGTTGTATAGGCAACTGCACAGGGACCCAAATGTTTTGTTTGCAGGTTACAAGCTTCCACACCCGCTTCAGTACAAGATAATAGTTAGGGTTAGTATTTTTTCACTCATATTTTATTTGGTTATAATATCTCTAAACGTTCTGCCATTCATGTTCTTTATTTTAACAAAATTTAATAAATTTAGTACATAATTGGTTTGTAATGCTTTGGATAATTGTATGGTTTATTGTGCAGATACACACAACAAGCCAATCATCACCAATGCAGGCATACAATCAGGCTATAAATGACCTAGACAGGGAGCTCAACCACTTGAAGAATGCGTTCGAGGTTTGACAATACATCATTTTGTTTTAATTATCAACTACTAGATTATTCGTTAAGCATGTGGAGAAAAAGATCCGAGTTCAAAATGTTTATTCTTTCATCTTTTATTGCTTTTTTCAGTCTAGTCTTTCTAAATCTCCTCTTTCCCTTTTGTATCAATAAGTTATATTCTCAATAAAAAACAATTTTTTTCTTCATGGCTGCAGGTGTTTGGTGCAAGTTACCATTTAATATATTGGGTATGCTTGGTTTAGTTAAATCACTTGGGAGGAATAATTGCTGGAATAGTGGGGATTACTAACATTACTTTTGTAGTTTTTTTGACCAGTAACCACAGAAAGAATATTCATTAATAATTAAAAGATATGGATACAACAACAAGTTGTGAGAAACTAGCGAGTCTGATACAAGGCAAGCCACGCAACCTTTATTATAATTGTGCCCAGTACATATGCTGTATCTGAACCCCTTTCTTAGCTAAACCATCTGCCAAACTGTTAGCAAATCTTCTAACCCAATGTACTTACAAGTTCACATCTTTTGAGTTTTGACATCCATTTAACGCGCACAATTCCTAAACTGCTAACTCACCCCTCACCTTTTTCTAACCATCCCACAACTATCTTTGGATCACCTTCAATAACCAAACTACCAATTCCCAGTTCTTTGGCTTTCTCAACCCCATAAAACATTACTTTTGTATTTTGTTGTATACAACATAGTCTTTTGTGTAATTCTTAGAGAAATTACTAGGTTCTACAAAGGTGAAAGTTAGTAACTTTCAACAGGAAATCCACTATTCCCTCCCATTGAAGATTCTTTCATTCCTCTCTACCAAACTGTCCAAAAGGAGTACTTCCCTAATGCATCTTACATGATTTCTCCATCTTTCTTTGTTAGTGGAAAAAAGGAGCCTTTTAATGTTGTAAAAAGATCATCACCATCATCATCATTATTATGTTATTACTACTATTTTGATGATTATTGCAGTTTTTTTTTTGGATCAACAGCATTTTTACAAGAGCATAGATTATTTGCATTATGGGGGATTGGGACATAAAATAGCTGCAAATCATGCCAAAGAAAATTTATGCCAACCATCTCCATGTTCATCATTATTCAATGTGTGTAATGTGGAGTTTTCTTCTAAAAGAAATAAGGAAATAATAAATTTCTATCAAAACTGGAATTAATAAATTAAGTGTTGTTTTGATAAAGGAATGTGCTTGTTTTCTTGGTAGTGGAATTGTGGAAAAGTACCTTGATGGCTTTTCTGATTTATGTAAAAAGTTTCTCTTTTGGGGGCAAAGACATTTTTTCTAATTCTTTGTTAAAAGTAAACCTTCTTTTATGTTCTAATATAAAAACCCAGAATGCATGTATTGTAACTAGCATTGGTTTTTTACTTCAAGGGGCCATTGCTTGGTGTAATAGTAAACTCTGGGCTGACAAGTGTGAAAATAAGGTTCAAGTTTGAGTTTGAGAGTGACCATTTTATTAAAAAAGGTCAAAGATTAGGTTTGTAATTTTGTATCCAACCTACCTCTCCTGATAGAATAACTAGGACCAACATTGAGTAATGATCTTTTTATTTTTGGCTCCAGATTCCAGTAAAATGCCATTATAGTCCACATATTTTGATTACTGAGTTTTTATTTGGAAGGAAGGTTAAAGAGTAAAATGACCTCTTGGTCCCAACCAAAAGGGGATCAAGGGAAACAAAAAGGTGCAAAAAGAAAGAAACTTGAGTATAAAAGTACAAGTTGCACAATTGACCAAGAAAAAAGGGGCTTGAAGCAATCTTTTCCTTGAGATACTCTTTTTGATTGTTAATCAAGATACTTTTCTTGCTAGGACTTCTGTGGTTGAATTAACTGATCTAGGAAGCTAAGCAAGCAAGGTGTTCATTATGTAAGCAAAATTCTTGCCTCTCAGTGGTTGGACTCCAATTCCTTGGTTTATTAATGGGGTTGATATTAATAGGAATTAGGGACATTTGGGCCATTAATGAATGATATTGTGCTTTTTTTTAATCTTTGTACAGTATTTAGTTTTATAATTGGAGGTCTCCATGTCTTCTGTAAAGAAGCAGTTTTTTTTTTTTTTGTATTTTTTTTTTGTTATTGATAAAAGAAGCTTCTAAAACTAGCTGGCCAGAAATAAGTCCTTCATATCTTGATATATGGAAGGATCTAGGAAAGTCTTAAAAGTCCTAAAGGTCAAAAGGCTTTGCTTGATGCATTCCAAAAGTCCTAGGGATTTTGGTGAATTTGTTTGGCATGTAACATTTGGTGATTAGGGGCCTGCTTCCTTATCTCAAGTTTGAACCACAGAGGGGTATTTGGGAGAAGGATTACCTATTTACCTGGAGAAGAGTTTGGGCTGGTGAGGGAATATCTACTTGCCGCGTGAGATGTTGTCTGTGACGCTTATGTAGGACCAGCTCAATTCTGTCCTTTTGTGAATGTTGAATGATTTTTCTTGATCAGAAAATTTTGGCTGTTGATGGTGTACTTGAAGGAATAAGAAAGAAACTAGAGAGAGAGAGAATACTTGGCTGTTGATGGTATATCAGCTCAATTCTCTTTACTGAAAATGCCTTTTTTTCTTGTTCATCTTAACCTTCCCTTGTGTCTTTTAGACCCCATTAACATCTCAAGAATCGGAAAACAATACAGGTTTCTTTTCTTACTCCAATCATTGCCTCCGCTCTGCCTCTGATGTCTTTTTTAGTGTTTGAAATAAAATTTGGGCCACAGAAGTGACAAATATCTACCTCAACTTAAATAAGATGGTCTCAGCAAGTCTTCTGTGATCATTCATGATAAGATGCACAACCAACCATATTGTTCATTGATCAACATGGATCAATCTATCAGAGTTTATGCCATTCCAGGCTCTATTGACTGTAATAACTCCATCCAAGGACACAACATCCCAACTGTAGCTCTATCCAAGTCTATATATGACCTTCTTGATGCCAATAATTTATCGTGCAGAATTGTTTTATCATATCAAATTTCTAAGTCACTTAGTCACCTATAAGATCAATATCAAATGCCTAGGTCACAATGATTCTTTTTATCACAAGCATGTCTTTTAATTGTATGAGACAAAAAGTCAACCATGATCCTATCTATAGGTGTTGTCAGATACTCAGATGAGCTTTGCTTTAGAGCCAAGAGATCTAAAGGACAAATATTCATAATCAATCCATATTTTGTATAAGGGTTGAATATGGACCGCAGGTTGGTGTGAACCTCAACTTAGATCATGTCAAGCACACTCAGATCCGACACCTATTTAATACACCATTAATCTTGTTGAGGCAAAACTCAGAGCCAGGGAAGGAAGCAACTCGACTAAGAGATTGCCCTTTTCCTTGAGATTGAAATTGATGTATTGGCTTTAAAATTCCATACATCTGTGATATTGAGTTTCCGAGTCCCATTCTTCCTAATGGCATGCACATACACTTTTCTATTTCATTTCTTCTAGACTGTTTCCTTCCATCCTATTTTTGGTTAGAATCAAGTTTTGTTTCTAGCAAGAAATGACAGGGCATGTCAGAACTTGGCAATGAAGCCAACGGGCCTAAGGTACTCGCTTCATCATTTGTACATAACATTATTTCCATTATATTGATAAAGTTAAAATTACCAATGAAAAGAGATAGATGTAAAGTAGATGAACCTAGTTGGTGATGGTGTTCTTGATATTAGTGAGCTTTATAATCAGGAATTATATTTCTCACCATGATGCCAGTTTCTTCGTAGGGGCTATTACTTGCTGTAATGGTAAAATCTTGGGCTCTCAAGCGTGAGAGCACGGATTAGAGCTTGAGAGTGGCTATTTTGTGCCAGAAAAAGCCAAAGGTTAGGACTGTATCCAGTCCACCCTTCCCAAGATCCCAACATCGGATAGCCTTTTTTGGGTAAATAGTAATGGCCTTTTTATGCCAGTTTCTTGGTAGGCTATCTTATATTATATTATGTGGATCTGCGATTCACTTTCTATAGAGGCCAAAGTACACTTTGCCTTCCTAGTTCCTAATAATATAGTTCAAATTGACTGAGCCTTGTCCCAAGTCCCAACTATATGGGGTTGGTTATATGAATCTTGTTTTTCCTCTCCACTCTGTTGTGTTACATCCATTGTTATGGGCACTTATCTTTTTTTTTTTTTTTTGACAAGTATTTTGTTATGGGCACTTATCTATCAAAAAGAAGAAAAAAAAACCAGGGTTATTGGGTGCTCAGATAATTTCTCACTACTTCAACCTATGTCCTTATTGTCCTGTCCCTAGCTCTTCTAGATTTTTCAACTTGCAAAACATCACTTATTCTCACTGATGGGGTTAGTCCTAGGTTCCTATTGATACATTCATTTCTGATTCAATCCTTTATTGTTTTTGTTTTCCCACTTGTCCATTTCAATGTTTGCACCTCTGCTACTGTGCTACACTTATTTTTAAACATGTTTCTTGACTGCCCAACACCCCATCATTGCTGGTCTTATAACTGTTATATAAAATTTTCCTTTTGGCACAGGTAATATTTTCTCATCACATAGGACTCCAAATATAGCCATCCATATTACCCATTTCATTCTGATTCTATGAACAATATCCTCCTCAATCTCTCCCATGTTTTATTTTTTTGATGATTAATCAATCTCTCCCATGTTATGGATAATCAAACCAAGGAGGCCACAAAATTGATAGTTGCTTTTGTGGACTGTTGATGAATGATGATAATAGGTTTCGTTGAGAAAATTCAATGAGACTGCATGGAAAGAAAATGAGAGAATATAAAGTTTCAGCTAGTAAATTGTCAATATGTGTAGGCAAGCTGTGGGGTTTGTACTTCAGAATATATTGTTGATGAGTAAGATGCTTTTTTCGCTATAGCATGGGATTGATGATAGCATAATTTGGAGACTGCTAATGCAGTTGGTCGGATTGAAGGAGTTAGCAAGAATCCATGGAGTGTTGATCATCACTTGATGTTAGGGCGACTTTTCTTCCACTACAATTCAGATTAGGTTCAAGAGAGGTTAACTTTACAGCTGATGGCTTTAAATATATCAGGAGTTAAAGTGCCTCATCTAGAAATTTTATCCTTCATTGTCCTCCCCCCTCTTTTTCTAGGTGAGGAGTGGGTCTGTATAGATTTACATTCTGGTACATAATTGTGCATCCTCTCATGAATGTCTTTTTTATAAATACATGTTAACTTGTTATCTTCTATCTGAATTACAACCTGAAATGTTTTGCAGCTTATGTCATCTTTGTATCTTCGCGTATTCCTCACATTCTATGGCTTCTAATATGCAGGAAGAGATGATGAGAATTTCGAGGGAATACTAAGCAGTACGGCTGAGCAACATTATTTTGTTGAATGGAGAAACTTGACCATGATTGAAGATTCAAGAGGGAACTTGAGATCCCAAGCATATTTTGCTTGCTGTTAATGATAATTCTCTTGTTTGGTAGACCTTATTCTACGTTGTTATGGTGTGCGATGGAATTTTGTTGCCAAGTAAAATCCATTTGTAAGTTGGATAGACCTTGAAATGTAATGGCAATTTACTTGCAGATGTAGTTTGTGGACTACCATTTATTCAAATTGATCCATGTTGGAGAGACCTTTGGGACCAAAACATATATCCCACCAATGAACATCTTATCTGATGCGAACACAAAAGTTTGGTTAAGTATATGCAATTCCCCTTAGAAAGAAATGCCACCGACTTGTTGAAACCTGAAAGCTGTCAATTGATTCTTTCCTCAATCCATTTTTTTGTCATCGTCAAAAGTGATTCTTCTTATAAAATCTATGCTGCTGGAAGGGCAGTTCAACCATCTCAGTTGCAGAGGCACGTGCAGCTCTTGAAGCGCTTAGGCTAAGCAGAGAAATTGATGGTGATAAAATAATTATCGAGGGAGACTCCAAGCTAATGCTTGATGTACTCGGTCAATTTTCGAGGAATGTAAAGAGAATATCTGAGGAAGAGAACAAGATTTACCTACAAGCACATACACAGGGAAGGGAACAGGGTTGCAGACTATTTAGTGAATCGAGGACACAATGGTAGGATGCATGGAACGACAAGAGCTTCAATGATGCTTCACTCGCTAGTTTTAGCTGATTTTTTTTTTCCTGCTTTTGAGTTTTGCTTGTTCTCGTGTTGTATTACTTCCTAATATTATCAAAAAAAAAAAAAAAAAAACATAAACCACCTCTCCGTCCGGGTGAGTTTTGATAAATACCACCTGATGAGAAAACCGATTCATTTGTTTACAAAATTTTCCTGTATTATGGGTGAATCCTTCTATAAAATATCATCACAGTGAGACTTGAACCAATGAAAAGTAACCAAAGTTTAACCTGATTGGTTCTGATCTGAATTTAATTTTCAGCCAATATAAATGCACCATGGTTGAACTCTAAACTTTGGCGTTGTGATATGAAATCAATGGTAAAAATGTAAAATGGGCTCAACCTAAATTTGAACCAGTTACGGATGCACCGAGATGGCGAGATCCAAACTTGATTCATTTACTTTTGAATACAAATTGAATAGTATCAGTCGGATTTATGGATTTGAATCAGGTCTGGGTTGAAATTGGATATCTATAACTATAAGCGTTGATAAATTACACTAAAAGATCAAAATGTTATACCAATCAACTGCGATTCATCCAAATAATTTGCATTGGTTTTAAGTTTTTCAGCTACCAAACCGCCTACAATATTATTAATAAAATGAACTGAAAATGGATTTAATATTGTATCATAAATTCATAATCGAGACCATGAAGAAAAGAAATTGAATTCATGACTCAAAATACAAGGTTAGAAACAAACATGGCCCTGGCCCCGGGGAAGTTAAAAGTTAAAACCAATTGAACCCGAATAGACAAATTTCCGCTTCACTTGGATGGTCCGATTTTAAAACGTTGCCTATGACTCGATTAATTTGTGGTTTCGCTTGTCCAGCGCAGCATTTAACCTTGTTAAGTCAATGAACGGGAAGTCAACACGTTTGGTTCAAATCCAAACCTTCAAATGTAACAGAAAACTGCCTTCGTTGTATTATATTTGAATAGTTTGGAATCAGATGAATTCTGGGAGTGGAAGAAGAAGAACCCAAACAGTGCTGGTGCTTTCGATTCCCGCGGTTTCTGAACGCGGAAATCGAAAGTTATCAGACATTGATTATCCAAATCTCTGGTTCAAATCCCGGAAGAAAAACCGGAGATTTGGATTTACTCCGTGATTCTGAATAATCTCTCTCTCGTGTTCTTTCGATTTTATGGGAACTCCGGAGTTTCCCGATCTCGGCAAGCATTGCAGCGTCGACGATTGTAGGCAAATTGATTTCTTGCCGTTCACCTGCGATCGTTGCAAACAGGTTCCACCCTTTCTCTTGTCTCGGTCTTTGGTGTCCGTTGTTTTCCCGCGCTATTGCCGTTGGATATATTGTTAAAGGGTGATTAGATGAATATGTTGGGGACTCCGATTTCTTGGTTAATCGCATGGATCTCTTGATTTCCTGATGGATTAGTTTTGCAGCGAAATTTACTTGAGTTATGCCAACTTTTGGTTTGTAATTGCTGAGGGAGTTCTGTGTCGGATCTTTTCAAAATGCTTCATTTCATTCTTGATTATTCGGAACTTTAGATAATACAAATATCTAGTATCCGGAATTGCCCACTTCAATCAACATTAGGTGCAAACAGACTCGTATAATGGAATTTTTCAAATTGGGGAGCACATTACAATCGAGCCTCAACTCTCATTTGAAGCCCTGAAAACCTTTTTGTTTTTGTTTTTGTTTTTGCTTTTGTTTTTTTTTGTTTTTGTTTTTGTTTTTCTGTGAATTAATTAGGAGTAGCAGTTCTTCCTTACTCTGGAGCCTTAGTCCTCTAAGCTCTGCGATAGTTCTACGTGGAATTCCCTTACCATGATCATCTCTTCTAGATTCTCACCTCCATACTGTAAGATGTGATACGAGACTCATTCTAGTTACTTTGCATAAAACATTAAAATGTTGCATTCTTGGCGGAGGTTTTGAATCTGATGTTTTTTTCTTTTTGGGATTTTTACTGCTTTCCCATACCTCCTGCATTTGAAAACCATCATTGTTGCAATCTGCTTATATCTTTTGACTAATAAACGTTTCTTCAAATATAGTTGAACTTCTCATTCATTTAGAAGCTCTCTAAGATATGCCAAAGCATTCGTGAAAAATAAAGGCATGATGCTTTGCCGCTAAATCTATATCTTCAAACTGCAATTGTATTTGCAATTTCAATTACTCATAGACTCATAATAGTTTTACTGGATTGTTTTGATTCCTGAACAGGAACTTGTGGTTTTACTGTTTTGACATTCCTCATTACCGTAGTAATCAATGCCAACTTCAAAGACTAAGGCAGTCAAAAAATCTAATATACCTGGGTTCCTGTAACCTAATTTGTATCCCATATGACAATCGATACTGCATGGATAGCTCTAAAGTTTATTTTACAGTAAGAAAATATTTAAAATACATAAATGGTAATAGATTTGAAAGATACAACTGATTTATCTTAACTCATTATACTATACAAAATTTTCAGCTCTTAAAAATTTCATTAAATTTGGTATGGTATATAAATATTAAAGAATGATAGTTACTTAAAAAACTAAAAAACAAGATATTAGCATACTAAATTGGATAGTTATATTTGTATGTGTGTTTGATACAAGAAATGGAGAATTATATCCCCTTTTATTTTGTTGATGTCCTTGTTGGTATTTTATCTGCGAATCTTTAGTCAGAATTCCAGTTAGTAGTAATAGTGAGCCAGCCACAATCCATAAGGAACCATAATAGCTCCCCCCACCCCCCCCCAACCCCTGAATGTATTTCCTTCTACTCTTTTTTTTTTTTTTCAAGGAAAGGTATGAAAACATAATCCTAGATGACTGGATTCTGCCTTTGAGGAGTATATTAGCTCATAACAAAGAGAAGAACAAGAAAAGAGCAAATCTATCTGTCCTGTCTTTTAATTTTAGCTTTAAGAAATACCTTTAGCCCCATTTATGGTCTTAGAATTAACTGTAAGGGATAATTTCATGATACACAGGTGGTTGTTTCTTTCCCTCGCACACGGATAGCTCTTGGGTGTTAACAAGGGGTTGCTTTTTCCAAATAGTGAGTTCCCCTCTAGTCCCGGACATAGTGCATTGTGTCCCTAGCATTGGTAGGAGACACTTTCTACACTGCATGAGACTTCTATACTATGACCAAGGTAGTCTTGAATTAAATGAACCTTGGCTGGTCTAAAAATCCATTTTTAGTCAATAATGTTCTATGTAATGAAGACTTTGTGGGAAAAAGATTCGTATATCAAGTACCATTTTATTGCCAGCCATATTCTACTTATGTTATTCAATGTGGTGTCATTGATTTGTACACAGCTATTCTTTATCTTGATAATATGCAATAGCACAGCTGTTCTTCTTTTCCATTTCAGGCTCTTGACCAGGTCTCTTGCCTAATAGATGCTTTGGTGTTCAGTGTCATAATCAAGCACTAACCATATACAAATAGGTCTCCACCATTGTTTTGAAGATCACACCAAATCAAGAAGATATTAGATTTGTTTGACTAGTGGTCGCCTAAGAGATTTTTTTTTTTTTTTTTTTTTTTTTTTAATAAAAACCTAAACTGTCAACAGACTGATGTGGTTTGCTTGAGCTGTTCTAACCAAATTGTTGAATTAACATATTTTTTAATGATTTAATAGCGAAATAGCATTTTATTTATTGTTTCGTGACATTTATCGAATTTGTTATTGTTATTGTTTATTTTTAGAATTTCCTTTTTTTTTTTCTAATTTTCATATTGATATACTGACTTTACATTGAAATGTGAAGTGCTAGTCCCACTGGTTCAGTGTATGTTTCAAATTTGAAAATGTTGGTCTCTAAATCCCATTATCTTGCAAGAGAATTGTAGTTTGTAGAGATCATAGTGTAAGACTATAGACATCTCAATTTCCATGAAATTGCCAAAACATATTGTGAATTCCAGTCCTGTGCATGTAAATCTCGCGAGTAGATGTTCCCGAGACTTGTGAAGCCTGCAGGATCCTGACACTATATACATGACAAGTGCAATGATCTCAATAAGTTCCAATGGTGACACTTGGCAAGATTGTGTAAGAGGCGGGGAAAACTGCGCAGGTCAGTACCTGGTCCCCTCACCCACGTTCTTGTCCATAACCGCCCATGCCAAGTTGGCATAACTAACTTGGGAATTTTGCCCAGAAAGATTATTCTAGAACTTTGTCCAAGGTTCATGGCCACTTTTCCCTCTAAATAGGGAACACAACCTCCTTCTCAGGGACTCTTGGGAGACTTTAAACCTCTCAGACTTTCAGACCTTTTTCCCTTGGGTGGTTTCTCCACTGACTTCACCTTCAAGCTCCCATAGCAGTCATTCTTGTCCAACTTTCAGAAACTCATAGATCGTTGGTGCTTCATCCTCTTAGACATGGTACAATTGTTTGGCCTTACACATCCTGAGATCTTGACCTAGCAACTTGCCTGAATGATGCTTTAGCCTTAAAATCATTATCCAATTTACTATCTCTATAATGATATTGTCAATGGTTTGTTTTTGATGTGAATGTTTCGCCTTTTTTTTTGATAAATGTGAATGTTTCACCTTTTGACCATAATATCCTCAGAAAACACCTTTCTTGACCATCAACAATAATATGATCCATAGAAAGTTTGTTGTGATATTCTTAATAACTTGGAGCATTGTTCCTTCGACACTAGAGCAATTTAGGCGTTAAACCACTATTTACCCATTCTATAATGACTTTTATAAGTGATGTGTTTACATGACTGTTGCTTTTGCTTTCTTGAAGTTTCTTCTTGGTCACCTTTATTTTGGATTAGCTTCCCACCTTGATATTATGTTAGCCTTTTCCTTTGTAGAATATTTTGTTATGAACAAAACTAATTGGTTTTAGGTTGTGGTCATGACTTTTTCCATATTTCTCACAGGTATTCTGTTTAGAGCATAGAAATTATGTTAAGCACCACTGTCAAAATGCCAATAGACAGGATGTCAAAGTTGTCATCTGTCCCCTCTGTGCTAAAGGAGTCCGCCTGGTTCTTGATGAAGATCCAAACATTACTTGGGAGTCACACGTGAACACTGACTGTGACCCATCAAACTATGAGAGAACAACAAAGAAAAAAAGATGCCCTGTCCCTCGTTGCAGAGAATCTCTGACGTTCTCGAACACGATCAGGTGCAGGGATTGCAACATCGAGCATTGCTTGAAGCACCGCTTTGGACCTGATCACAAGTGCCCAGGACCTAAAAAACCTGATGCAGGCCTCCCATTTATAGGCCTCTTGACGAGAAGTCTGACAGAAGATTCCCGATCTATCCGCAATGCATCTGCATCATCACTAAATTGGGCTACAAGCTTTGTCAATGTGGCTTCAACTGTCCGAGCCTCAGCTGAAGCTGGTATGGCCAAGTTGAGTCTTGCAACTAGCCAAGCATTGCAGATGGCAAAGGACGGGATTGGACCAAGCAACAGTGACAGCAATGGACTGGTGGAAGAGTGTCCAAAGTGTCAGGCAAGGTTCAATTCTGTGATTGCTTTGGTAGAGCATGTTGAAAAAGTTCATGAAAAAGCAGGTGATCGAGCTGGTGTTAAGAAGGTGAGAATTGATGCCTGCCCCAAATGTAGTAGAGGATTCTGAGATCCAGTATCCCTGGTAGAGCATGTTGAGAGAGACCATGGTGGGACTTCTAAAGCATGATAGATAATGTATCAAATTGCCCGCCATTGGTTCGATTTGTATAATACATTTAACATGGAATGATTGTACCTGTTCTCTTCAATTTTTTCAAGGAAACATGGGAACATCTCCTATAACCTTCAAGTCACAGAATTTGCTGAAGTCCTGCCTTCAGATGAAATGGATGCTTCTCTGGTCCTGTGTATTAAATGGTGAGATCCAGCAACCTGTGATGTTGGTTTGTCAATATTTGAATTTAAGAAAACTGCAAAGTTCTTGTCTTTCTTACCATACATAGCTTTTTAGGTCTAAGGTTCTGATTGTTCATGATTTGAAATTCTTGATATAACAATCACTTGGCCAATTAAACATTGGCTCTGCTATGTATGATTTAAAGTTCTTGTCTTTCTTACCATACATAGCTTTTGATCCTTCCTATTTCCCTTAGTGGAGAGGGCGGGCCTTGGAACAATGGTTGGGTTTCTCCATTGCAACCTGGGTGACCAGGGTTAAAATCTTGGAAACAGCTTATTTGTGTATCTTCATGGGTAAGTCTTTATACATTTGTCCCTCCCTGGACCAGCCTCGTGCACTGAGCTGCCCTTTTTCTCTTAGTGGACCTCATACATGGCAATCCTTCATGCAATTGATGTACTGATGGAACAAAAAAAAAAGGCCTATTGTATAGAATATATTTTGGCATGGTCTATTATACTGTATAGTTGTTCATAAGAACACAAAAACTACTCCACACCATATCCTGTAGCATTAGGAGGTGTTTGCCAATATGTGTGTGTGGTTTTGTTTTTCGAAACAAAAACAACCGCCACATCAACCGAAAACCCCCTTGATTTACCATCTCATTGATGCCATGTTACAACTTCATAGAGTTTTTCCCGTGCCGTTCTTTGTCTTCACCTTGAACATTTTCCGCTTAGTACTGTTTCCATCATCCACACTCTCTGGATGATATGCACCTCCTGACTCACCCTTAGTCCATGAGAGCTTTCTGGTCTGCCAATTCCTTTTAGTTAATGCATCAGGAAGTTAGATCCCTGTGCTGTACAATTGGTGAAAAAAATAATAAGTGCAGAAATAAAAAAAGATATCAATTACATACCTAATCAATAGAGATATCTCGTGTTTATGCAGAAGATGAAGATGTAGAATGAGTGAATATTGTACTAATTATGACAATGCATTCCACAGATGGCATGCAAATACCATGCTTTTTATTCACTTTGGAAAGAGTACAAATACAAATATGTACAGGGCAAATACATGCAAAATAATACAAAATACAATGTTTTGCACTCTACATATTTGTATTTGTACTCTTACCAAACGGAGCCTAAAAATCATATTGTTTTTACTGCGAGTTTTTACAATTACAGGCCTTGAGTCAATGCCTTCTTCACTCTTCATAGTGAGGAGTGAAATCCATTTTAGAGTAATTGATTTTACTGTACTGGTGTTTGCAGCATGGTATATTAGATGACAGAGCAGAGGGCTCTCAGAGTAGTTTCATCGCATAGTGCCATGGAGGGCTAGAACAGAATGGTGAAATCCATTTTACAAATATGTAGTGTTTTTACAATTACAGACCTCGAGTCATTGTTTTTACTGCGTGTGATTGGACTGTTAAATCCATTTTATGATTTTAGAAAATTAAAATAAATAAAATGACAGACAGCATTGTGATTAATGAAGGGTTGAAGTTTCCATCCTCCCATTGGCTGAGATCTTCCTCTATTGCCTGAACTAGGGCTAGAAACGGATGGGATCAAATTGGATACAGGTAGATCAAAATTTGTTTTTGTTTATATTTGGATTTGAATCTGATCTTATCCATTGGATTTATATTGGACCAAATTGGGATTGTAATTGGATACTTAATAGTATTCATAAACTAAACTCAAAATGATCAAAATATCTTATTTATTTTGGATAAAATTAACTAAAAATTACTTTTGATATTGAATATCATGGACAAAATGAGTACAAAACAATTTGTTGAAAACACAAGCATATGGCTCATTAGTTAAAATAAAGCATTCAAACCAATTTTACTAATAAATAAAATTTAAATATATGTAAGCAAATATATTTAAATTGAATCAAAGCATATTGCATTGGATAGGGGTGGATCCTTATTTAATCCAATTATAAGTTGATAGAATTAAGATTATCTTTGACCTGATTGAATTTGAATATGAGTTCAGACAATTGGATACCATTTCCAGCAAAGGAACTATGAACTCAGCTCAGTATAATGGGCTAAAATGGGCCGTGATATGACATCTTATGATCTTGTGGTTCTTCTTCTTTTTCTTCAGGAGTGGGGTGGGGTGCCTTCTCCTCATACCCATTAACCCCCAAACCCTGGTGGCAACAGGATTTGATTCCAATCTTGCACTACAACTTACCAGAGGTATGATCTTGTGGATCTGTCCCTTTTACCCATTTTAGGCCAGATCCTTATTCTCCATTCCCCTTTCCGCATGAGTCTTGATCTGCTATGCAAACTCTTGACTCTATTCACAAGCAGGGATCAAAATATTGATACATACCAAAAATTGGGTATTAGTGCATATTGATAGATCGGTATTCTTCTTCTTCTTCTTATTTTTTTTTTAATATTATCAGCCTGAATAAACTCTAAACAGGCTTAGAGGGATTTTTATTGATAGACTAACATTTTTTAATATGTTATTGGACATATTGTATCGATATTTTAATTCTTACAAACAAAGACACTACAATCGCAACATACAATTATGAAATATATATATTAGAGATGTGCGGCTGTAGTGCTTTTGCATGCAGCAGGGTCCGGTCACTTCGCTTCCTGGCTTTTCTCCAATTCAAAGGCTCTCAAAGTGAATAAGCTAAAATCCTAAAAAAGCTGATGTTAAATTTGAAGCTGCAAGCCAATTACAGACTTTTCTTTGTTTTTTCCTGGTAGAACAATTATAAACTTTTCAATCGAAATGCCAAAGGCATCCTTAATATGACTTGGGATATGCGCTGAGGTGGGCCTATTGGGCCCGGGTTAGCAGCATGCCCGTATTACGACTGCACGTGGTAGCCCACAGAAACATTAAATCATGTCCTGCGACGGCCCAATAGAACAGGGATACGATCCTTGTTTGTTTTAAATTCAAAACACCGATGATCCGCTTATGAATCCGTGGTTAGCACCAGTGCGTTGCGTGAACCGATGCCCGAAACGGGTGTTCGACGGTCGGGCCGTGCACTGTACGGCATGTATGCTGCAATTTTGGTGGAGACCTACTAACAATTAGGCCACGTGGACCTGGCGTCCTTGTTGTTGGTGAGGGTCTGAGCCCTGAGGGACCATCTCTCTGCCTCTCCATTTCAGTGTCTTTCACTTTCTGTTTATACGGAGATTTTCTGACACGTAGACACATAAAACCGATCTGGACCGTACGCAGTTGGCCCCAGACTGTGGACCATCTAAGGACGAAAAACACCCGCATTATGGGGGCCACCACCAAGCACTAGTGCGTTGCCCAGTACTCTCCTGTTCTAGCTCTCCATGCATGTCCTCCAGCCTCTCCATGAATGCCACGTGGCAATCAAACCCTGCGCATCAACCGTCGTGTTTAGGCCACGTGTGCACTAATAATTGAATAGAGCTAGTTCTGTGTTCAGATCTGCTCCCAACAGATGCCACCAGTTGGGACAATGTTGAGAGCTGAGTGGGTCGATGTGATATATGGGTCCAACTTATATGGATATGACGTGGTGTATCCTTATTGGCCTTCATTACCAATGGAACCGTGGGTGCAGATGCCATCACAGTCTGAAAGCCTGCAGTCGTCGTAGTTGTACAGATTATTATTTTTTAATAAAATAAGATATATTATGAAGGAATACGAATAAGATATACCTAAGTAATGCATCGGTCAAGCTCCTTAGACCGTTTGATTATAATCCATCTATCAGTTCTTTAGAAAGGCCCCACACATTTGGATTCCTTCACTGATTTCCGCTCCGTGGAGAAGCGTGACTGCGTGAGACTGTCACGGATTTGCAGTTGCCGAATCATCGGCATTTCCTCGGCAATGCCGGAGTTGAATGGTGACGGATGGAATCATAGGCCGACAGCATCCGGTGTTCCGCACGTCGGCGATAAGTCCAGGGCTACGCGCGTGACAATGGAGAGTGAAAGAGAGAACCGATGTCACGTGAGGAAGGAGAGAGCGTCGTCGAGGCGACAAATATATAGGTCCAAGTAAATGCGACAAAACCGTACTTTAAGAACTGTTAATGGATAATTTAATAAATAAAAATTGACTTCCTAAGGTACTTAAACTCCAGTTAAATCCGGTTTGGTCATTTTTATACGGGTCGGTCTAAATCTGTAGGACTCTTGTACAGATTCTTTAATTAATTAACTTTAATTAGGGAAAAAAAGGGCAAAAGGACTGGCATCTTTGAAATATGGGGAGACATGATTATAAATGTGTATCTGTAATTTTGGAAATTGTGATTTGTGAGGGATTATGTAAATAATGGAAGACGCAATTGTTTAAATTAGAATGGTGTTTGGCATCTGTTGTTTCTTTTGACCGTTAAGTTTTAAAAACTTGCCACGTCAGCATCTAGTATCACCATAAAAAAAATCCTATTTGTGTCTATGTATGCGATGGCAAATTGGCAATGTATAGATTTTTTATTTTATTTTATTTTTTACGTTAAGAGGCTGATCCAAGAAGATGCTCGTGGGCTTCCCATTTGTAAAGAATTAGGTCATCTTGTTGTATTTATTTCCCTTTGACAATGGTTAATATGATTTCAAGGTGGCTGCCCCTTGGTATGAAGTAAAGTTTGGGGTTAAAAAATATATTAAGCTGTGTTTGGAAGCGATGTAAATAGGTATGAATACAAATATGTAAAGTGCAAAATGTCTCATATGAATTGTAAAATTGGCTTAATTTTGCACTAACAAATTTATCTTCTTATCAAATAGACTTTTAGCTGCAATGGATAGAAATATGAATTTCAATAAAGCAATTTTTTTTTTTTATCAAAAGCCCACTTGAATGCAAATTTACTTCTTTTTATTGATGTACTTTTACATCTTATTATCAATGTAAATATGCATTGGTCTGTCATTTATCAACGCATAAATGCAATATTGCCAAACACATGCAAAAGTGAACTAGAGTGCAAATTTACCCTAATCGGGATTTACACTCCATTTGCATAGTTTCCAAATGCAGCCTTAGGAGTTATTATAGGCATAATATCTATGATATATGTTCTCAAAAAAAATCTATGATATATATGATGTGACACTAGGATACAACTTAGGTTGGGTTTAGAATTTGTTAAATTTTTAATGGGCTAGAACTCAAACTTGAGATAGATGTAGTTGAAATTCTTGTGGAGCAACTTTTATGTTGCACAAAAGATAAGATTGATGCCAAAAACATATTAAAAAATCGACTTTTACTATAATGTGGAAAAATTTTTACTACACCATAAAGCCAAGAAATTAAACCAATCGAGCCATTTGTCATTGTTGTTGTCATCAACTACAACATCTATCGTCTAAGTCTTGTCTCAACTATATGGAGGTTTAGCCATTGTCATCCATCCAGGGTTATATCCATTATTAAATTATTGACGCTTGAATAATTTCTTATACTTCTTCCATCCAAAGTCCTTTTGTATTTATCATTAGCTTTTCTAGTCTGAAATAACTTTTTCTAACAATGATTAAAAATAGCCTCCTATGCATGTGACTCAATCGTATCAGTCTACTTTCTTTCATTTTATCACTTGTTGAAACTATTTCTAGATTTTTTCATAACTCATGGATCACATGCATATGTGACTTGCTAAATTCACTGGATTGCCAATTTCACAGATTGTGTCAAGCATTTGGGTAAAAGCACCCTTAAATTATCAGAAAAAAAAACACTTTCTCTGCATGACCATATCCTAATTGCAATTCAAATATAACGATTAAAAAACATTGTGAATTTGTGATGTTAAACACCCTCCAAAAGTCCAAATAGATTATTCAAACACTTCCCAGAGGAGGCTCACCTCTTATAATAGACAACAAAAAGTACTTATTTTTGAAAAACAAAAACACTCCTATGTTTTATGATTGAGAGAAGAACTTTTCTTTTGTCAGGATTGCCCGGCTTATCAATATAGAGGTCCCCAACCCCAAACCAGTCCTTATCCATGACGGTTGTTGTGGTCCTCCCTCCTCCGTCCGTGGCCCCACCATTCGATTCTCATCTATGATCATCTCATGATGTGATGTAACATGTCACATCATATACATAGTAAAGTCATCAATCCATGATTGAACAGATGGCGGTGTGGTCCATACTCTATGGCGTTGTGGGGATCAAATTGATGATGTGATGCGTATTGCGTATCACCATATAGGGCTAACATGATGATACCAGAATTGCAACATGTCAAATCGGATAGAATTTAGCTATACAGCCTATACTTATCCCAGCAACCAAACAGTCGACCTACTACGATGTTGTTTACTTGGTTATGATTTTATGAGAATTGAAGAAGAGGATCACGGTGGGTTCGTGAAGATCGAGAGAATCAGAGTGAACTACTCGAAGAGCGGAGCTGGGAATAAATTTGTCAGCTTGAGAAGTAAATGTGGGGAGGGAAAATTGAGTAATAAAAGGGGGCATAATAATAAAGAATAACGACCCAAACACCTTCAACGGCACGGACATCTTTATTAGGGAGGTCCCACACTCCCACCCAGCAATTAACTCCAAAGCCTCTTTAACAACTAATGAAGTATACCTAGAAAAGAAAGCCACCCTAGAGTCATAACTATGGGGTGTTTCATTTAATTTCAAACTCATCACGCTTAACAAGGCTAGCTTATTTATTTTTTATTGCCACGTGGCATTATTAATATGTGGTTGATTGGTGTCGTTACCTAACCACCTTCTTAGAGGGATTTTTAAACTTGGATGGTGGTGCTGAACTTGGTGGTGGGGTGGGGGGGGAGGGTGATTCAAACTTGATGGGTGATAATAAGTTAATAACAATTCATCTAGCCGTTTGAAGTTGAACTTAAACTAAGGCTTTCAAAATCCTGAAGGATGTGTTTGGCATTGAGGTTAAATCAACCTTACTCATATTTAAAATATAGAGTTTGAAAAATAAAAAATAAAGATTTTGATTTCATCAACTTACAAAAAACCTTGCAAATAATTCAAAACGCACTAAAATCACAAACACAAATAATTTCTTGTACGATTGATTTATGGCACTCATCTCCTTAAAATCTATTCACTTGAGTACTCTCCTCAATTGATGACACAAGATAAAAACATACTTGGTGCATCTTCCAACAATCAAGACGGCCAAGAGATGTGATGAGCTTTTTTCTAATTACTGTTTGATAAGTATCAATGGTCTATTACTGTCTACTAAGCTATTAAACAAAAAATTTTAGGCGGAAATACTGAAAGCTTATTGAGGCCTTGAGGGCCATTTTGAACTTTCACGATCTTTCTGGGTGTTAGTATTTCTGGCTTCTGGTCTTTCTTTTATTGCCAAATAAAAAGACCAAATTTCAGTTTTTGAAGCTTTGAAAAGTACACAAAACCACGGGAAAGACTTGACAAAAGACCTACCAATTCTACTCAAAATTTCTACGGAAAAATGATGATGTTCCAGACCTCGATTAATATGGTATAATTTCATATGAAATTCAGCCAACTGAAAATGCAAATTCCAATTCTATCTTAATGAAATAAATAACTAAACAACGTTTTTAATATTGGATCAAACAGGGAACCGTTCTAGGACTAATTCCTAGGACGAACGTTCAGACCATCCGTTGCAAATGGATGGTGCACTCTGACTTAAAAAAATAAAAGACTAAAAATCGTTGTTTGGGTTGATGTTTTGACCATCCGAGTCAGCGGATCGCTGACTAAATCAATAGGTTTTGGCCAAAAAAGCGGTTACAGAACTGGTTACCTGACCAATTCTCTTTCTCCGGTCCGACCGTCTAGTCTGGTCCGGTTTTCAAAGCCATGTAAGTAAATAAAGGGAAATTGTTTAAAACTCACTATAAGTTTTCAGCATTTCTGTTAAACTCACTACAACTTTTCAAAATGTCTAAAATTCACCATGTCGTTAACTTGATGTTAAATAGACTAACGTGTGTTAATATATTACCATTTTAACCTTCATAGAAAAATATAAAATATATATAAAATAAATTAACGGGTGTTAATATATTACCATTTTAATATTTAGACATGAAAAAAGGAAAAAGTTCAAAAAATATTTTCAAATATAAAATATACAAAAACATAGAAATTACAAAAAAATATAAAAAGTTATTTTCAAATTATAGAAACTATAGAAATTGAAAAGCAAAATCAGAAAATAAAAATTGTAGAAAAAACACCAAAAATTATAGAAAAACACAGAAATTGCAAGTAAATAACAAAAATACAGGAAAAATTTATAGATTGTAGAAAATAGAAAAATGTAAAAAACAGAAATTATAAAAAATATTGGAAATTATAACAAAACACTAAAAATGCAAAAAAAAAGCCAAGAAAATTGAAAACTGAAAAAGACCATTTTTCCTCTAACTCACCGGTCAAGGGTAGTTTGGTCATGAAAATTTTCATTTATACTGACATGGACACCTCCGTTAAGAAGCATTAACGTGCACTAAAGAAATGTGAGTTTTGGAAAATAAAAACTTACTTATATAGTGAGTTTTAGACATTTTGTGAAGTAGAAATGTTAAAATCTCATGATGAGCTTTAGACAATTTCCCGTAAATAAATAATAAATAGTATCTAATTCTAATAACAAATAAATCAATTTCATTTATCCCAATAAAACATAAATATCCAAAAAAATTATGAGATGGCCAAATCAATGCTTGAGAAAAGCTAAAATTTTGTGAAACTGAATCGTTATCATCATCTTACAACTTTAAAAATCAAAGAATTGCCATTATTACACATGATATTTCCTAAAAAGGCGTTTCCAAATTATGCACCCTTCGTTTGGTTGGACAAGTCCGAAAAGTGATTTTTACAAAAAGGAACCTCGTTTGTGTTATGTTTATGCTTTGGTCAAAATTACTTCGAGGAAAGCAATTTTCTTTCTAAAAATAACAAGGATTTTCTCATCCTCCAAACGTTCACCAGGCATTTTGTGAAACATGGTTTCACGTACTTCCATGAAGAACAAACAAATAAATTTAACCAACGTTTCATTTGCCAAAATGATTTTGAAAACAGCCTTCTTTTACGAAAACGAGGAAGCACGCTCTCTGGTACGTATATGCAAGCCCCTCTCGCAGGTCCGGTCGCTCGTTGGTGGAAAACCGCTTTCTCCAAAACTGCCATTTGTCGGACAAAACAGCCTTCAACCAAAACCGCTTCTCCCTCGCTTTAAAAATCAAAAAAGCTGTTTTTTTCCTTCTTTCCTCTTTTCAAGAGAAGAACAAGACGAAGAGGTAGAAGGACAATGTCGAGCACACGGAGACCGAAATGGCATCCTCCGCCGCCTCCTAGCCCTAGAATCCTCCACCTACCCAGAAGAACTCGCCGGAGAGCTACCACCAGACAACTCAAAGGAAAATCGATCAGCATTAAGGAATCGGATTCTCGCCTTAACAAGTATGGAACACTTGAAAATCTGCTTGATCAAGAGCGAACTTTCTATCCCACTGTTCCTGTTGTTATCTTGAACACTGGAGATCGTGAGACGAGAGAAAGAGTTGATGACTTCGAGTATACAGAGAGGATGGATAACCGGAGATGCAGTAGGGACTTCGAAGACGAGAAGTGGAAGTTACAGGCAGAGATTCTTCGAGCAGAGTGTAATTTTCTGAGAATGGAAAGAGAGGTTGCGATGAAGAAGCTGGAGAAGAATCGCGTTCAGATGGAGCATACTCTTCGATCTGCAGTAGAATCATTGATCTCTGTTCGTCATTTTTTTTTTCATTATTGTTTGGATCTCGTTGTTTAAATCTTGCGCTTATTTTCTTTCTCGATTGAATCCATTTCCAATGTTCTTGATTGGCTTCTTTCTTTCACAGGGGAAAAAGAAGATGTATGAAGGAAAAAGCGTCGGTGTTATGTTGGAAGAGGAAATCAAAGATCTGAAGGAGAAACTGGAAGAGCTCCAGAGAAGCTCGTGCATTAAGGATTTCGAGTTCCGCAAGTGTACTAACTTCGATAAGCAAACAGCAGTTCTTCAAAGACGATTAGAAAAACTAGACGGAATATCGGAGGAAGAATGCGTGAAGGAGATTCGAGAAATGGCAGAAGCCAGTTTGACGATCAGTAAGAATTATAGGATCGAGGAGTGCTTCGTTTCAGATAGAAAGTCTCGGTTCGCAGACGTAAGATTCATTACTGATTCTAAACAGCTTCCTTCGTCTTACTTTGTTTTTCTTTTCGCTTGTCCTTCTACATTAATTGATTATTCTTCTGTTCATTTCCGTTTGCAATGCTTCATGTAAGCAGCTTTTTCTTCTTACTGTACTCTGTGGTCGATCTCCATTAATGGTAAATACCTGATTTGAATTAATTTATTTGTTTTGATAAGAAAGAATTCCTTGCAGGTGGAGAATCTGAGGAGGAAGATGGAAGTATTGTCGAAGGGGATGCTGGAGAGGATGGAGGAGGAGTACAGGTCGATTCTCTCGACAACCACAACCGCAACTGCGAGTGCTAGTAGCTCGGCTGCCAGCTCTGCTTCTACTTCCAGGCGCATCGAATTTCCTGATTCGTCTTCTTCTTCTTCTTCCATTACGCGACAACAGTTTCCTCAGGCATGTTGATTGTGGTGTGGAGAGTTCTTTCCCTTTATTTTTTTTAATTAAATAAAAGAAAATGAATTTGAACTTCGGGGCTTGGGCGGTTAAGGCTAGCATGCGCCTGATGTGATTCAGAAAGGAATGGCCGTACGCCACGTGGATACTCAACTCCCTCTCGGAACTTAGAAGAATCACGCGAAATGTCAGGCCGGTAGGACCCATTTGTACCGTTGATGGTTCTCATGGATGGTAATTGTTGTCTATAGTTCATCGTGCACGTCCGTTAAGTGACAAACACAGCATACGCCAACGACTTCGGGAAATCAAAAAGGAAACGTGTAGGAGTTCGGGATTTGTCGTGGCCTTTTAGCTGGACTGTCGTGTTGAGAAGGGGTAGTTTAGTCCACATGCTGAAATAGTGCGGGTGTTTTGGGAATTGTGTAGGGACTGTTGCCATGTAGTTTGACGGAAATACCCTTTCCATCACGGCCTAATGTTAAGGGTAGCTGAGTATTTAAGTGAGATTGCTGGGTGAAAGTTGCTGCACGGCACTCTCGAGTCTCTAGTTGATATGGTGAATCCGTTATTTCAGTAGAGTCAATTCAAATTTAAATGATTAAGATACCTACTTGACACGTGGAAAATTATAGGGTTAGTAGTTCTAGGCAGCTGTAGAATGCAGTCCTCTCTAATTGCTGGCAATTTATTCATCTCGACATCGTTAGTGGTTTAGTCACTGTGAATTTTGTTTCCTATAGGAGACGATGTTTGGAGAGGAGAAGGGGTGTACCGGGCGTTGCCGAGCAATCGTTCGGAAGATAGTGGAGCAAGTCAGGGCCGAGACAGAGCAATGGTCTGAGATGCAAGAGATGCTGGGACAAGTTAGGGAAGAGATGGAGGAGCTTCGGGCTTCTCGGGATTTTTGGGAAGATCGAGCATTGTCTTCTGATGAACGCATTCATTCCCTCCAATCCGCTGTAAGCTCTCTGCCTCCTCCCCCTCCCCTGACATTTCATTTAATTTGGTAAGAGTAAAACTAATTGGGTTATTGATTCGTTCATTATTAATGTTGTTAGGTGCACGAGTGGAGACATAAGGCTAAGTCCGCCGAGACAAAGGTGGCAGAGCTACAGAAACAGATATGCGATCTCAGTGCTGAGCTCGAAAGATTAAAGACTGAACAGAAGGTGGAGCCACCTAAGATCAAAGGTTTACCGCCATTGCCTCTGTTGATACAGATGGAGAGGGAGAGGGAGAGAGAGAGGGGGAGAGAGAGAGAGAGGGAGAAGGAGAGGGAGAGGGAAAAGGAGAAGGAGAAGCGAGTGTTGATATGCCGATTGAAGGAGAATCATCAGAATGGCTGCAATGTCAATAAGCAGAACGAAGGCCTGGATGAAATCCAACGAAGAGGGAGAGTTTGCAGTGGTGGGTTTATTGCTGCAAAGCGGCCTCCTCTTCGAGATATAGGGAATTCTTCACCCGTTTTGAGGCAAAATAGTAAAGCAGTGTTTCCTTTGTATTCCCCCGAATCTTTGCCTTCAGAGAAAGACTTTGAACTGCTAAGGATTAAAGAGTAGGAAACATGCTGCTAGCATGCTGGCTAGCCTATAATCTCTTTTAAGCAAAGAGAATTTGTTTTTTTTTTTTTTTTTCTTTCTTTTTTTCTTTTGTTGTTTTTTGAAGTCGTATTAAATGTAATATCTCTTTTGATGAAGAATCCGCGTAGAATTCAACCATTCAAGAGAAGACTATACTTGCGCTCACACCATTTATAAACTTACTACTAACTTATTATTTTTTCCAGTTCCAGGGCAGATTCTTGTAAGAGTAGAATGTGTTTGGTACCATGTGTTTTAAGCTGAAGTGTTTGAGCTTGAACCATGGTGTTTCAAGCTCCATCGGGAGCAGAGACGAAGAGATGTTTTGACATAAAACTTGAAGTATAACATTTTTTATTGGGAAAATTTTTGATCAGTACTCTACACTTTGGTCTCCCAGCTTTAAAATGCTACCCGCCGTTAACCACCTGTTAAGTGGCATGTGAAAACACACAAATACCCTTTAAGTGTCATTTAATTTTCTTTATTAATCATCTGCTAAAATTAGAACCAACTATTAAAATTTTCATCACTGCTATAACACTTTTGTCTTTTTTCCCCTTTAAATATTCCCTCATCTTCGGGCCAAAACCAAAGCAATTTATGGGAGAAAAATTTTCCTTTAACTATTGTAATTATCTTATCCGGAAAATGGAAAAAGAGAAAAGTCTCTGACCACCATCACTGATCTCTCTCTCTCAAGTATAAGACAAAGCTTTCAGTTCTTCTCCTCTCTTTTACCTGTAGAAATAAAATATTACTGTATCAAGTTAAAAAAATAAAAGTAAGTTGTATAAAACTTGGAATTTTCTGTTTTTGACAACAACTTGCAAGACTTTGTGAGAAAAGCAAAGTCGTTCCAAGTGTTTGTGACAGAGATCTAGGGCCCTGTTGCAAGGGTTTTGGTGTTTGTGACATAGAGCTTAGGCTCTGTTTCATCTTCTTGATCAGGAAGAAGATGAATAGTGTGTTTTATTTTCAAAGATAATTTTAGCATTTTCAAAAGTCTTAAATCTCACATAAGGTCACGTGATATACATAACTGACGATTTATTAACGGCATGTACTAAATTATCGTGTTTTAAAAATTTGAATACTGAATTATCACATTTTAAAATTTGGGACCAAATTGTTACTCAAACCAAAATACATGATCGAAAATTTTCACTATTTTATTATTATTTCAAACAAGTAAACTCCATAGAGTGCCAAAGAGGACACTATGTGCAAAACCCAATGCAAGCTTTGTTGTTTCGGTTCCAAGTTGAATCCACGAAGTTTTTTTGAAGTTAAAAGTCAAATGGCCTATGTGGTGCTGTGAGCCTGTGACAATGTTTTAAACCTTGATGGACGCTTCTAAACAAGCTCTTGGTTGGTCCGCCAGTTATGTTTGGCCGTCTGCTGACTATGTACATAGCTCCGGGCTAAGGCATTCTGCCCAAAGCCCTATATGTTCTCATTCCATAAAGGTATAAAAAAACTCAGTTGAGCCAGCCGTATTTGCATACGGTGGCTGGTAGGTAAAGCTGCAGTAGTCCTACCCTATTCATTCTTAATTGGGCAAGTCGGTTCAGGGTCGAGGCTGAACACATCACACTGAGTCATGGATCGAATTCGGTAATACTATCTCAATTAATTGGATTCGGTTTACGGTTCGGATTAACCCAAACCTGCACCAACCCCAACCCGTTTGACATCCTTAGTAGTAGGGGTATAAGTAGGCCGGGTTGGGCTGCGTCAAAGAATTAGGCTTAAGCCTCAAACCGAGATTGAACCCAACGTCAAGTCCAATCTGTCTAAACTGGGCTCAGACCATATAGAATTTGATACATTTGAGTCGGGCTTGGGCCCAGGCCAGGCTTGCTTTGGTCAATCAGGTCACATAAAATTTGGCAAATTTATTGTGTATATGCATGTTTGGAATTGAACTTGCATCCTTACCAGGATCAGGAAATGTAAATTTTATTAAATACCTACTAACTGAGTTTGGAATTGGATGCAATATAGGATCTAAATTTTGTTGACCTAGATGATGTTAATCAGAGTGCGAATGTTGGGTAGTCGGGTACCCATTGCTCATCCTCACTGCAAATGCAGGACATATAGGGGTGATCATTTGCCGAGCTTAGCAGTTATTGGTAAGGGGACGGGCCCTGCCCAACCCACAAAGCCCGCATATTTTGGTCTACTATTGGGTGGATACAAGCCTGGGCCGAAAATTTGTGGGCTGGGCAGGGCTTTAGTTCCAGGTTAGGAATGGCAACAGGGCAGGTTCCTGTGAAAATCCCCATTTTTGTCTCCGTTCTCATCCTCGCTAATGGAGACAAGGTTATCCCCATTCCCGTTCCCACAAGGATTCTCATTCTTCATGATTTTTTATAATGTTAATAATTTTATTTGTGTTCTATTTTAATTAAAAAAATAAAAATAAAATAATTAAAATTTACAATCATATTAGAAAAGATTCAAACATATTTAACCATATTTTTAAAAATATTAATATATAGATGTATGTGTACATATATATAGTGGGGATCCCACGGGACAAGGATCAGGGTCTCTGCGGGGTGGGGAGTACTCTCCCTGTCCCCGCCCCATTCCCACTAACGGGGATGAAAATTTTTCCATCCCCATCTCTGCCCTATTCGGGGTGGATTTCCGCAAAAATAAAAAAAAATGAGAAAAATTACCATTCCTATTCCATTCCAGGTGAAAACAAACACCCCGCCAAGGATATATGCATAATATTGAATCAATTGTCGGAGTGTAACCCTGAACTGTGGGCCTCCATTAATTGGGATGCGATGCTTTAAGAGTCCGAATCTACTGTTCACACCAACCTCACAACATGTTTTAACCCCCACATCTGTAATATCTCTATATTTGTATATCATTATTTATGTGGAGATGCTTCCAATAGTGGGATATGCTATGAAAACGGTGTGAGGTTCACTCTGAGGATGCAAATCCCAATTCATGCTTAAGTACTTAATACTTTAATAGCATTTTGATCCGTGAAATCAATCCATTAAACCAAAATTTCATCGTTAACATCCTCTTTAACACTCCTCTTATGAGTATGCTGTTGTATGATCAACACAGAGGCCTTGTGTGAAAAGTCATTAGAGGAGAGCATATCCCCGATGGGGCCCAACTCTGGAAACTGCTGCCACTTATCAATCCCTACCGTCAAAATGGAATTTACCCCGCCCCCACGCCCCACAATGAAGAGCTCGTAGGACGTCTTCATTCGTCGTAACCTATAAACCATCTCGGCCGAATTTACTACGTACCTCTCCTCGTACCCAACCTGGCCTGTGGCTACACGCCTCTCGTAAAACTGGGCAAAATATTCATTGTCCAGCTTCATCTCCTCTTCCATCTCTTCCATCTCTCTGAAGGATTCAGAGAAACGCAAGCTGCTACCCCGGATCGAGCCTGTCTGATCTTTGGAGTCGTGTAGGAATCTAATGACGGTGAGGTTGACTCCAGGGTGTAGTGACACACGACTGGCGTAGGCTAATGCTTCCCAATCATCTCTGCCTCCGATGAAGATTACGGCAACGTTGAGGGATGGATGCGAACCCGAATCCTTGATGTTTTTCATTTGGAGTCCCTTGTCGACGAGTATTCCCACAGAGCATGGGGCGTGTCGTAGAACCTGTTGGACATCAAATCGTACATCGGTCCGTTAGCTGGTAAGTTAGTGTACTCTGTAAACTATCAATCGAGACTGGTCTGGAAGAGTCCGGATCTGCTCCAGAGCGCGCCTCACACCGACCTCAAGCATATTCTGGATGTACATCGAAAATATCTGTCATATTTATATTTATTATTCATATGAAGATATTTCCAATTCAAACTGGGATGTGACTGTAAGGTTAGTGTGAGGCGTGCTTTGAAGAACAGATTCCAATTTAGTCTGAGTCTCCGGACAACCGGAGGCTTATAGAATTGTCAATGAGTGAGAACAGATTAGCTGTAGGGTTGGTCTGACACAAAAACACTTGATTATGATTGTCATCTATAATTACCTATATAATATGACAAATTAGAAATTCATTTTTTATGATATAACCTAATGACAATCAATAATAAACTGTTTATATGTTGATTAATCAAGTTTTTTTTTTTAATACTGTCTGGAATTTATACGTTTAACAATAAAATGTACCAAAACTTACAAGAAAAAATTCATGAAACCTTCATATATTAAGAATTACATAATCGGTTTGGAATGGCAAAAACTAGTTAAAATCCAATCATAACCGAGATTCAAAACCTAGAACTAGAAGCAGTATAATCAGCTCGGTTTGATTCTATCGGGTAGACCCAACCCATTGAGTTCTACGTGGCATGACAAACTACAACTCCCAATTAACATTGTATGTGACGTAAGTCTTATATAGGGGTGCAAGCCAATTGGGTTAGGTCGGGTTTTACCTCAATCCATATCCAATTCTAAGAATTGGGCCTAAAGCTCAAGTTTGAATTAAGCCTAAGGTAAGCTCAAACTATCCAATCCGAATCCAATCCATACTAAAATTTGATGTGTTCAAATTAGGTCCGAGTTTGAATTGGGTTCAGTTTGGTTAATCAAGCCACACTACAAATATATGTATATATATATATATATATATATATATATATATATGTGTGTGTGTTTGTGTGTGTGTATATGTGTATTGTCTATTAAAAAATATCCAATCCGAATCCAATCCATACTAAAATTTGATGTGTTCAAATTAGGTCCGAGTTTGAATTGGGTTCAGTTTGGTTAATCAAGCCACACTACAAATATATGTATATATATATATATATATATATATATATATATATCTGTGTGTGTGTTTATGTGTGTATATATGTATTGTCTATTAAAAAATATGCATGTATACATGCAAATATGTGGCTATCTATACATATATAAGGTTAGGCCTAAGCCCAACTTAAAAAAAAATAAAAAGCCCAAACTTTTAAGCCCAGGCCCAGCTTGAATATAAAAAATCCAAGTCTAACCCATGTAAAATTGCAGATTGGGTTGGTCAAGGCTTGGGTTGGGCTGCCCAAGTTGCACCCCTAGGCTTATATGCCTCAATTACTGCCCATAGTACCATAGTAGTAGGATTACAAAGACTGGTGTAAGTCAAGCAAGTTAGGCAGAGTTTAAGTTCAATTGTAACCAGCCCTAAGAATTGTGCCTAAAATTTGACATTAGTTTATATGTTTATGCATGTGTATAAAAATATAAATGTATGCAAATATGTATTCATATATGGATGTATGTATTTGTGTATAGTTAAGCTGTTTTTGGATTGAAAAACTTGAAATAAGGTTGGGCAAAGTTCAGGCTATCTACGAGTTAGGTCCAAGTGCATCACGAGGACCAAAAAATCTAAGCCCAGCCTGTATAAAATTACAGATTGGGTTGATTCGGACTCGGGTTGAACCCCCAAATTGCACCCCTAATGAAGAAAGCTCACAACAATTAAGGTGCCATTCGGCAAGTCTTTTAGAAAGATCTTTTATCAGCCCATGCAATCAAAAGATGTATTGAATTTTTGGGGTCTTATCTTTAGACTCAATTTAAAAATATAGTACAAATACAAATATATACAGTACAAATACATACAAAATAATATAATCATTCCAAACTGAGCCAAAGACAAAGTCCGTTTAGCAAGTTCCTTGGTATATTGGACTTTTAAAAGCTTTCCTAAATTTGACATTTTTGGTATTTTTTATCTTTCCACACATGCTCTTATGATTTTACCAGTTTTTGATTATCAAATGGAAAAGACCAATTTTCAGTCTTCTGAGTTTGCTAATACCCATAAGAGTGCCTTGGTATATTGGACTTTTAAAAGATTTCCTAAATTTGGCATTTTTGATATTTTTTATCTTTCCACACATGCTTTTATGATTTTACCCGTTTTTGATTATCAAATGGAAAAGACCAATTTTCGATCTTCTGAGAACCCATAAGACCGTGAAGAAAGACTTACCAAACACACCGCCAAGTAAAGAAATTGTAAATTATGGTGGGTGTGTTAGTATGATACAAAGTAAATAAGATTAAAGCATGATAAAAGAAAAGAAAAGAAAAGGATTAAATCATTAAAACAGGATTTGGAAAAGGGGTACCTTACGGTTAACATGCCTGTAGCCAGCGAGATTTTTCTCCACCCTCCCGTCGAGCTTTAGATTCTTGTGGAAGGGCAAGATGATGAAAGAAGCCACCACGTCCTCGGCTATGTTGCAGATGTCTCTGTGCATGTTATCGAATGTTGAGAGGGCGATTACCCGGTGGAGGTGGATCCCCTTACCACTCTTAGCCATGTATCTTTGCAATACATTTGCTATCTGCTCTCGCTGGTTCATGACTGCCTCATCGAACACAGTCACGGCGTCCGCATCCTTCCCGCCGCCGAGCGTCGCCGCGGTATGCGCATTGAGCTCGATCATTTCGGTGGCAAAAACAGTGGCTTTTGACTTCACCGCTCCACGAGAGACCTCCATGATGTTGATAGCACTGGCCACATTGTGAGGCCCGTGGAGGCACAGCAGCATACGTATTTCGCTCAGTGGATCTTGCCACTGAAGTGTCATGTGTTGGACCTGCGAACGCTTTCGTGCACGACTTACGATGAATGCCACCACCAGGGGGATGTAGACTATGGTCAGCACGGTTGCGAGTATAATCTGCATGAAGTTGCTAGCACAAATCGCTCCTACCTGCTTCCAGTCTTTCAATAAGGAACTTGCAGTTGCTTTTTTATTCATCATTATTCTAAGTAGAATGGTTGTTAATTGAACAAATCTTTTAGAAGAAATTGAGTGATTTGATTATCCTCTTAACATATTTCCCGATTGAATTGATGGTCCTTACACCCACCTCATAGTAAGGGTGTTAATGGACCTCCAGTCCAAAATCAATTTGAACGGATTGGACGGACCAACAACACATTGAATTGGACCAATCCAGTCCAAAATATTTATTAGATTGGATTGGGCCTGGTCCGTCTATAATAAATTTATATTGGATTGGATTGGATTTAAATAATATCTGGTCCATTGATATAAGATAAGAATATAGGTGTCAATGGATCAAGTTTGGATTAAAACCAATCTAATCAAAACGAATTTGAACAAATTGGATGGTCCAGACATTGAATTGGACCGGTCCATAATATTCATTGGATTGGATTGGATCTGGTCCATTTATAATGGACTCGCATTGGACTGGATCCGATTGGACCAAATCCAATCCAATTGACATCCCTACCTCATAGCACTTATGGTCATGCACTTAGCAATATTTCTTCACGAATGAAAACATATAAGTATTTTCAAAAAAAAAAAGAAAACATATAAGTATGGAAGATATTCATGATGTGTGGCTACAGTGTGTTCTTAGGAAGAAATCCAAACTCCCTGCTGCCTCCAGGGTTGGGGTGTTAATTCAAGGGGTGGTTGATGGGCTACCCTGTTTGTGTACAGCTAAGGGTGTTCATTATACGATTCAAACCGAAAAACCAAATTTAACCAAACTGAATTTGCGGTTTGGTTTGGTTCAGTTTTGTGAATTTAGAAAATACGGTTTATGGTTTGGTTTATTAAATTTTATGAACCAAGCCAAACCATAAACCATAAACCGTATTAATATAAACATATAAATATATATCAAATAATATAATTTAATATATTAATATTAATTTTTAATTTTTAATTATGACTTTCTCTCTCCTCTTCTCGATACCTAGCCAACTTACCTTTTGTCCGCTGCCGCTGGTTTAGTGTTATCGGTCATACCTTCATCGTCCGACTTTGCGGTAAATGCTCTCTCTCTCTCTTATTCTCATTACCTGATACAATGAAACCCTAACCGTTCTCGCCAACCCACCATTTTCACCAGCTCACCGCCGACCACTCCACCACTATCGCTACTCCCGTCTCCCTCTCATGATGTCATCTCTCTTCCAACCTTAACAAAACGCCCTGACCAAGGAGGCCAGGAAATCGTCTTCCTCTGTTCTACCGATGAACCCTATCCGCCCTAGTCCGGCGACTCCAGCCGGCTGCTGCAATCTTTTTATTATCTTCTCATCTCATCTCCTCTTTAGTCTATTCTCTATTATTTGAAAAAGAAAAAGCCTAATGGCCTACCCCCTTTCTCTCTTCTCTGATTGGTGACGATGGGTCAGGTCTATCCAACAAATGGACCCAATTAAAATGATTACATGGGTTTTAGTTCCTAGTTTTGTCTCAATTAGTCAATCATATTTTGTTTGGGATAGGAATTTTCTTCTCCAAAGTGATTATGGTGGTGTTTGGGATTGATGCTGATTTCTCATAAATCGATGCCACATCAGAGTCACATCAGTGATTATAAAATTGTTGATTATTTTACTATTTGGTTGGCTGATTTCTAAGAACTCGGCTACTTAGCTAGAAATCAAAATCAGTTGGAAATCAATTATTAAAATCAGGCTTGCAAGAGATGGGGATTTCTCTTTCTAGGTTGATTTTGATTATTTTTGGATGACATGACATAATGGACAAGGAGAGTTCCCATAAATACAAAAATCATGGTGATAATCAATATCAAACAAATCCATAACTGATTTATGAGAGATCAATTTCTCTGATTTTTGAGAAATCAATTATCTCAGAAATCAGAGATTTTTAAAAATTCTCATAACAGAACTCAACACCCACCCCGAGCATCTCCTATTTAACCAATAAAATATAAAGGTTTCTTGTTTTTCTTGTAATTTGTTATTATTAAAATTTTGATTAAAAACACTAGTTTGAAATTTATAATTATTTATGATATACCAATTTGGAACTTATTTTTTGATAGTATATAGTTTTGGGTCTCTTCTAGTACTATCAAAAATAAGTTCTAAATTGTTTTAAGTATAGATATCAAAGTATAATGTAAAACCCAATTATTCTCTTTAGGCCGTGTTTGGTTGCAGTGCAATTTTATTTGTACTAATACAAATGAGTGCAAATAAAAAAAATGCAAATTCTTTTTTGACTTTGTTTTATGTTTTACTTTATTCTGCTTCATGTCATAATTTACTTCATTTTTACTGCAATCAAACAAAATAAATTAAAATTTGAAACACAAATAGATCAGAATTTTGAATTTACACTCAAATCATTTGCACTGCCATAGTTTTGCATCAATACAAATTTATTTGCATTTGGTTTCAGTTCTAAGTCTATTTTATAGAACTGATTGGCTTATTAGTTAGATTCTCAAGTTGAACCTCGTTATCTTCAATTTAGAAATATTAAGAAGAGGATCTTGGGGGGGAGCTGGACTTACTTCATAGGCCATCATAGAACAGTAGATATGAAAATGCCCTTTGATGTTCAGAAGCAACCCCAGTGCGATTGACTCCGACCAATTATACCCTAATATCTTGCCGGAAACCACCGTTCCGGAGACTTTTCCTACAGTCGCAATTAGGAAGATGAGAATTAGATCGGACCATGTACGCAGATCGTTGGCCTTAAAATGTTTGAGATTAGCTTGCATTCCCACCCAAAAGAAGTAGATCGGATAAAAGAGCACTCCCAAGAAGTAGTTCAGCTTGCCGGTCATCATCTTGGATAATCTCCCCGCTCTCGGAATTATCAGGCCCGTCACGAAGGAGTTAATGATGGGACTAACTGCAGCAAGTGGACCAAAGCAGCAGACTATTACAATTACAGTGATTGCAAGCACCAAGTGAGTGGCTTTCATGGCCTTCCCCTCTGGGTTATTGTCGTTGATCCATCTTACGAAGCGGGGCAACGTTTTCACCATAAGAAAAATCTGGATGATCATTGCAAATACGAGGAACAGAAAATCCGAAAAATAGACTCCCATCTGGCTTGTCGGATAGATAATGAGACCAAAGGAAATAAGGATCAAGGAGACCATGTCTGTGTGCATTCCTGCACCAACCGCAAGCCGTCCAATTTCCGACTTTCCAATCTTGAGCTCGGTTATCAGTCGCGTCAGGAGTGGGGAAGCTGTACCGGAGAGGGCGACCGCAAGGGTTATGATGAATTTGATCATGATTGGCTCCTTTGCTAGACTGAGCAATGGAGCCACCAAGCAAGCAACGATGAAAGTTGAGAGCATTCCGCTGTAAGCTACCATGGCTTCGCGGGTTGGCCGACGAAACAGCACAGAAGGATCCATTTCCAGGCCTAAAACAAGCATGTAGCAAACCATGCCCAACTCGGAGATAGCGTGCAACGTCCGAGCAATCTTCAAGCGCATTATGATCCTACTCAGGCCCAAGTTGCCGTATAGCAACCCTACCTGTAACACAGAGATCGATGTTTAAAATAAAACTATGATAAAAACGGTGACAGAGAAAAATCTTCAATCTGATAAATACAATGAATTCATCCACTTGAATACTCGTGCCAATCCATCAAGCTGGAGCCCAAATGGTTTTTTTTTAATGATGTATATTTACCACTAAAATGATTTTAGATCATCACTATGAATCAAAAACTCATATATTTAAAATGGGTCTCCACTAACGAAATTCCACAAACAAATCACACAGGACTGATCAGATTGGATGCTTCCCCAATTGTGGTTTTCAGTCGTAAAGTTCTAAAATTGCATCCATGGTCTGCACAAATGCGTATTTCCTTGATCACCTATGAAATTTCACTGTTTAATCGATGGGTCATCTATTTACTATTCAAATTCATGAGATATACTTACGATGATTTCTGAGATGATGCGAGGTTGAGATATGTGCCTGGTGATGCCGTGTACAATACTGCATGAAACCAAAATAAAGAGGACTGCCACAAAGTATGAAATTACGAAGAAGTGAGCAGTCATGGCGGCGATTTCCTTTGGCAACCGAATGCAACCCTTGGGCGGAGATGGAGAAGCTCCAGCGTGTCCATCCATTGGGGCGGGGGGCAGAGGCGCCTCACCTTTGTTTGTCTCTTCCCTTTTCTTCCCCCCGATCTTCTCCCCGTAGTTTTGGCCGGGATGGGCCGGGCCGGGGAGATGGCCGGGGGGAGAGGGATTTATATGTAGAATGATTAACAATATCGGCCGGGGAAGGGTGGCAGAAGGACAGTGCCCTTCTCCCCCTTTAAATATATATATTTTTTTACTCTCCCTGTCTTTGGCCGGGGTAGACGTCCAAGAGATTGTGATGGAGCGGGTTGGGCGCTTTGTTGAGTTAAGAATAGAGCCCCTACCCCGAAAAATCAGAAAATTTTCCACAGCTGTCCGAGCAGAGATACAAATACATACAAATTTTGCACTCCACCTGAGTGAAAATGGATTTATCAACGATATCTTAAGAGCTAGAGCCATTGATAACAATAATTTATGTCAAAATTATTATTTTTTTAAATTTTTAGAAAAATTTTGTAAATTAAAAGAAACATTAAGTTTATATATTCATTTTTAGCTAAATGATTTTTATAGTAAAGAAAGGAAGAACTATAAGATGGATCTATCAATTATTTAACCATTTCATTAATCCAACAACAATTTAATTTGTATTCTAGATGAATTTTAAGTAGATTAGAAATTCAAACATTGTTTGATGTATTATTAATAAATTTTTTGTATAATATGTATATGTTCTAAATTTCCAATATTGTTGATTGTAATATATATATATATATATTATAAAATCCTGCATTACTTATATGGTTATACTTTATATCAACTTTAGATTATTACTATTGATGTATTTGTGTGATTTGTTAGAATTTCCCTAATGTATTTAGTATATCCATTTCTTTCCACCACATCAGTATGTATCAAAAGTCAAAAGTGTATTGCTATACATATTTGTGTCCAAGCTTATGGTTTCAATATGCAATACCTCTTTTGGTTAAAGTGGAGGCCATTTCATTTTACTTCTCACAAACAAATGAGACAAAGCCAAATATGGATTAGAAGTAAACCAGAGTTTAGATCCAATCTCTTTGCGGTCCAATAATTATATATCAGTGTAAAGGAATGCAATTAAAGGCATCCTTAACAATTTTCCCTCAACTTTGTGTTTCTCCCTACTTTTCTATCAAATCAAACATGGCTGAAAGAGAAAATCCCTTCAAGTACACATGAGAATTCATCACATGCTCATATGTTTTTTTTTCCTTAATTTATGACTTCAGAGTTAAAAAAGTTTCTTTACTGTTACAGTCCAATATCTCTTCAATCCAAGAACAATATGCACCTGCCAATTACATTAAGCTATCTTTTTCTTTTGAAAGCCCACATTAAGTTATCCTTTCACCATAAAATTTTATTAATCTTTCTTTGTTATGCTTCACTTGTGTTGTCATGTTCCCCCAAGAATTTAGGTTGTATTTGGTTTGAAGGAAAAGGTAGGAAAACCTGTACAAACTCTGTATAGGTTTTCCTACCTTTCCCTACCTTTGCCTATCATTTCCTTCAAACCAAGCACAGCCTTAGACATTTTATTTTATTTTATTTTTCTCTTAAACTTGTTAATGTTTTTAACACTGTCCTCTCTTTCGCTCTTAACACGGTCCTAATAACCAATATTTTTACAATCATAGATCACAAGTTCACAACTTATCCCCTTTATATTCTCATTTTCCAAAGAGTCTAAATCAGCTTCTGGTGAGTCATTTGAAGGGATACCCACTTTAGCTTCTTTGAATAGCTTATCCAAAGAGCTTCAAAGCAGCTAAACCGGCTTTGCTAATGGTTCAGCCCTTCTAAACAGACCCTAGATACATAAAATAGATTCGATTGGAGATTGGGATGCCATTTAAAACTCAAGAAATTTATTTTGGGTAAATTATAGGACCCCTGTATTGTGGGGTCAGTGACAATCGCCCCCTCAACTTTCATTTGCGACAAAGGCCCCTTGAACTTTCACTTTGTAACAAATACCCCCCTCTCCGTTAGGATTCCATCAATTAACTTTGAAAAAGATTTTTTTTCTTTGTTTAAAGTTTTATAAGTTTTCAAACTACCCTTAAACCAAGTTTAAAGTTTTTCTAAATATCCAAACTACTCTTAATACATGTCTTTTGCTTTTATTTTTTGCCTTCTATCTTTAGAACCTTTAAACTTCGGCCATGTTTGGGAGTGCTTATTCAAATAAGCACTTATTTGCATTTGGCACCCAACTTTTTTAATTGCTTATTTTTTATTTTATATAGGCGTTTGGTAGTCTTTTTCTCTAATAAGCACTTAAATAAGCATTTGCGACTATTTTGTCTTTCATTTTCTTTCAAATTTTCAAAATATACCATTTGAAAGCATTTTTATTAAATTACTTTTATAAAAACACTTTTACGAAAATACTTTTATAAAAACACTTTTAAGAAAGCACTTTTATGAAAGTACTTTTACAAAAGCACTTTTATGAATGCACTTTAATAAAAGCACTTTTACTTTCTTAAAAGTTCTTTCGTAAAAGTGTTTTTATTAAAGTGCGTTCATAAAAGTGTTTTTGTAAAGTGCTTTCATAAAAATTCTTTCTTAAAAGTGCTTTTGTAAAATTGCTTTTCATAAGTGTTTTTATAAAAGTACTCTAATAAAAACACTTTTGCAAAAATACTTTACAAAAATACTTTTATAAAAGAACTTTTATGAAAGCACTTTTATAAAATTAAACTATGGATAATTTTATAAGTGATATTTTAAAATTCAACCAGGGATAATTTTGAAAGAAAAAAAAAATTGAATAAGTGCTTATGGTATAAGCACCTAAAAAAAGCTGGAAATTTAGACTTAAAAAAATAAGCCCTTATTTTTAAAATAAGCATTTATTTCGGCCTTATTTCCCAAATATCAATAAGTGCTTAATGGCCTAAATAAGCACTTATTTTGAATAAACACTCTGTTTTTTTTTGATAAACCATAAATTTTGTCGAATTATTCTCTGACGTCAAAACCTATGGCATCTGTTAGTTACGTTGTATGTATTTTATGACATAAGCGACGGGGATGCAGCAACATGCTTCGGTTCATTCTTTTCTAGCAATAATGAAGAAACAAACTTTCGTTTGTTCTTTCTCCAACGCCAATGACGAAGTTTGGTTCATTTTTTCTTCTTTGACAATGGTGGAGAAACAATTGGAAGAAATGTAAGAGATGCGAAGGAAAAATTTATCATCAGAATTTCCTTCTCTAGAGATGACAACTAAAGTATTTTCCAGCGAGGAGTGTTAGGAGGTGCAGGGGGTAAATCGGATCGGACCCGGATGGTCGGACCAGAAAATTGAGAATTGATCATTTTACTTTAAAATTATTTTTTGACCAAAAACTGCTGATTTAGTAAACGAATTATTGATCTAGATAATAGTTTTTAGCCGTTTTTTCTTTTTATTTTTTAATTTTTTTGTCAAAATGAGACATATATCCGCACCAAACGGTTGGACTATTCAATCTCCATAAACTGGTCCCAGAACGATTTTCTATCCGATCTGGTTTTAAAAACCTTAGTTTAATGGCTTTTGTATGGAGGAATTTGTTAGAAAGGGAAAGTTAAAGAGAATTTTTGTGCAAATAAAAGTTCGTGAGGGTAATACAGGGCCGGGTACTTGTAATTAAATCCATTTATTTTTACAAAATTTCAGTAGAAGTTGATGATGAATTGTTGGAATGATGGGCTCTAGGGCTGATCTTTGAGGTCAAAAGTTTTGATATGCCGTATCTCTTTTGGCCATGTCATACAGCATGTGACTCACCAACAAAATAACAATATCATCTTATTGACACTCGTACGTTGAAGGGCTTATCAGTTGCATAGGCGTACGTTTGGGTTGAAATTGCTCCATACAAATACAAATAGAGGGTGGCAATATTGTGTTAGGTAGGGTGTCAATTCGACTGAATTTGGTCTGATGAAATCCAATCTAATGAATATTTTGGACCATTTTGAATCCCTTTAATTTAATGTTTAAATTGTTTTAATCTGTTCAAATTTATTTTAATTTACATTGGTTTCAATCCAAATTTAGTCCATTGACACTTATATTTTTAGAAGGACCAGGTCTAATTCAATTTAATAAATAATTTGGACCAAATTGGTCTAATCTTATATGTCTTGTTGGTCCATTCAATCCTCCAAATTGATTTTAGACCGGACGAGTCCATTGACACCCTTAGTGTTAGGAACCTAACCTCTTGCGAAATGGGGTTATTGAGACCTTTTGCTAGGCAACCGGACTAGCAGATCGACCTATTCCCTTTTCCACTAAACTAAAAAGTGTAAAAATTATAGGAACCCTTGTTTGTGACAGTTAGAAGGTTATACTCTTATAAATTATTTTTTGCGACACTTAGCCCATTGTGCTTTCATACAACGTTGAATTATACCAGAAAAAATTAATGTTAGAATTATGTGCAAGCCCTTGATGGTATCACTGTTTTCAAATTGCTTTTCCCCCAAAATCGTTTGGTCAGCAAACCGTTGAATAGGCCGGTTAATCGTTCAAATCATTCGAATTATTCAAACGGTTTTGACCATTTTTTAATTTTTTTGTCAGAATGGGCCAGCCATTTGGGTCGAACGATCGGACCGTTCGAACCAGTAATCGGACCCCTAACCGGTTTGGTCACCGGTTCGTTTTTAAAAAACCATGGATGGTATTAACTGTGTGTATGAAATCATGCAACTATCCACATCTATAGACGGTTTAAATCCATTGATTCGGATAGCACTTTAATAGATCATATCTTTGATTTACTTTGTTACATCAATGATTTCAACTCATTGCCTTGAGGTTGGATAACACTATGGGGCCGTTCTTTTATTCGGATTTTGAGAGGGGGAAAGTAGGTCAATAGGATTTTGGTTCCTATTAACCAAGAATCTTATCTTCTTTTTTCAGATTAATGTGGGGACCTGAGAAAGTTTATTTTTCCAAATCCAGGTAAGTGATACCCATATTCTAGGTGGA